TAAATAGTCTTTGATGAAAAAAGGCTTTTATCAATATTTCTGATATAAAACTCATAATATTAAGATTACTTTGAGTACCATTCATCTGCTAGTAACAATAGATGTAACAAGGAACACATCCTGATATGTAACGTTCGGCACACTATTCAATTAATCTGACTTCGTTATTCATTTGCTGATATGTATAATTTTACTAGAAAATAATCTATAGATATTGGTAACGTGATCGTTGTACCTCAGACAAATGCTCTCTAAACGCTGACTAAACCAGGAGAGTTGCTTTTTAAACAGTGGCTCATGCGGCAATTTCTCTGTCTATGTATAGATTAAATAGTTTTCTGTTAGGTTTTTGATTGTTGATAGTTTCAATTAACAGTCATAAGAAAAAAAATGTTGCGAGAGCAACTGCCATTGGAAAAGCAGATCTACTGAGAGCATCTGTACGGAAAACAATAGTCATAGATTCTTAAATATTTGATATTATTCTTTCGTATTCCTCAATTCATATGATGAACAGAATAGATCATCAAAATGAGTTATATCTATTTCTCAATTTAGTTAATCATTCTCATTAAACTTCTTAAGAGTATCAACAACCATCTATGAATGTTTAAATGATAATTTTTATCATTGAAAATCTTTCAAAAAATTGAAATGCTCAGTATATTATTATCAAAGTCTAACCGGTTGTCACTGATGTGGTGCTTTTTGTAGTTTTTGTTGTTACGGTTGTTGTTGTGGTTGCAGTAGTTATTGTTACTATGTATAAATATTCAAATTGATCTTAAAAGGTTACTGTGGGTGATAGCTCATGCATCTGCTAAGAAGAGTTTTCACCCAACCTTATGCCTAAGCAATAATGTCGGCAATTCTTAAATGATGAGGTTACTAACCTACAAAAACCAACATGTTAATCATGTTGGTCCCAACAACACTTACATCTCTTGTGGTGCATTTTAACCAAAGTCGGAGAAATCCAACGGAAGTTTCGCTGAGTAACACCAGTGAAAGTTGGAAACTACACCAGCGATGAGAACAATCCCAATATAGTGATCAATGTTTTTGTGAGAAAATTTTTTAGCTTAGTTTTATCGGCATTGACTCCATGACGAACAAGTTTATCATCAAGTTATATTGAGGAAATTCGTTCATACTAAAAGTTCAAGAACAAGCAGTAAAAAAGCAAACTTATTTTTTCTCGTTGTCATCTTTATAAATTGATTTCATAATGAATATTGCATCTTGATTTTTGTGCTCTTATTCTTGTGTTCATTTTATGAATGTTAAATTTTATTTTTTCATTTTAGTTCTGTTGAAAAACATTTGATAAGGCTTCTTAACATGATTATATTGTAAATAATTTTTGTATCAATACTATGTTAATGATATTTGACATTGTATCTCATATACAGACAAGCTTTTATCTGTATTAGAAATGCAATGAAAAGATCGTTCTGCATGCTACAAAACAGAATGATTGAGTAATAATTTCTTGTAGAATGCAAAGCAGGACGAAAAAAGTCATCCTGTGATGTTCTCTAGTGGGTTTTGAATGTTGTTCATTGAATGCTTTTTCACTAGTGTCATATATGTACATGAAAATGTTTATTGATAGTATCCATAAATTAAATAGTTTGTAAAGAAATATGCTGACTGAATCTTCTAAAAAAAATAGAAATCTGTCTGCATGAAAATGACTGCAAGTCGTCGAGAACAGAATACAAGATACTACGCAATATTCTTTTTAAAAGTAAATAATCATCAACATTTGTAGTGCTTTCATAATGCCATACAGTATATTGTTGAATTTGTACCAGAGACAATAGAAGATTAAAATATCGTTAGTTGATGATATTGTCAGTTGTTCCGTTTTTATATAACATACATCATTAAATATTAGCATCGTTCCTATCTAGTTTGACTCAACTAATGACCAATGTTCTCTTTTTTCTCATAGAAATGAACATACTACGTTTCAATTATAAAATGTTGCTGAATAAATTGATTCTATTTTTGTATCATGATAGATTTTGAAATACGCAACTGAAAATTATTGCATCTCCTTTCTATCTCAATTACGTTTTTCTCTTTATTTATTTCTTTCGTAATATATGCACATAAATTTTTCGTTGTATGTAATCTTATGAATTTTCTTTTTCGTTCTTCTTCTTGTTTCTGAAGTATCAAACAAACGCAAGAAGATTTTTTTATTGCTCTTTTAACATATTCGACCATTCTCTCTTGTCGCATAGGTGTTTATTTGTGTTTTAATCTTGCTTGTTGGACTATTAAAAATATTCGACATTCTAGAAAAAAAAATCTAATCTCATCGCATATCAATATGTAATTTGAGTGCAGTTACAGTCGTATATACACAAATAGATACAAATATGTATATTAGACAAAAAAAAATATATACGTAAATATAAGAATATCCAAATCAAATTACTTTATAATATTTTCAATAGAAGACTGTTAGAAATGAACAGAACGAGAAGAGAACAGCACACTCAGCATTAAAGCTAGCTAAGTTTTTCTGATCTTAGTAAGTTAGAAATACCGATAAATTGGAAGAAGAGCTACTCCTTGAAGATTTAATATATATAAATGAAATCGTTTTTCAGCTTTAGTATTGGACGAAGAAACTGAAAGGAATAGTATTGTCTAAATTATCTTTGTTGTAATACTATTATGAAGTAAATTTTTATTGCCAGTTTAAACCTAAGCGAAAAAAGAATACAGTAAATCTTCTACTAGTGAATAAGTTCTAATTATGAACGGCCTCGGGTCGGATGGAACAGTTCTTGCTGTAAACACTTTCGTGTGGTGAACACTTTTGAATGTCTTCAATCATTTTCACAATAGAGAGGTTTTGTTGTAGTTGATTCAACTACAGTAAAATCTTATAAGTAGAATTCAACATAATGAATAACACATCAAAGATATACATAGATGATTGATAGTATATCATTAAAAAAAGAAGCAAATGAATTAACTTAATACTTTCTAGCTAAAAGTTGCATCTCCTTTTACAGTACAGAGGTATCTAGGAATAGATTCGTTTTCCATCTATTGCTTATTTCGATTCGTATTATCTGACGGTAATGTTTTAATTAGAATTTGTCTACGATAGAAAAACAATGAGTAGAAGCTAGTAGTAGACTTTCTTAAGATGGAAATACATAATTGAATAAAATTAAACAGTGGAATATTATCGAGTCCAAAATAAAGATAAATGTTCGAATTTATTCTCTCAAGCACTCAAAAATTATCGTGGTCTTGAAAGCGTGAAAACTATAGAGAATGTAATAAGCCAATAATTCATTATGATTAATTGTTCATGAAGATTATACATATATTATTATTATAGTTTTTGAACATTAGAAGAATGGTTCCGTGGACTCGATATTCGATAACTACTGAGAAGATGAAAACCTGAACAAAACCATAAAAAAATTCTTTTTTTTCATTGTTTGATCACCAGCCGTACCCATTACAGACTTTTTAAGGTCTATCTAAATATTAAAAATGTTTTTCGTTAGTTTTATATTCATAACAAACAAAAGATTTTGAATAATTCTTCACCCTTGAATAAAAACTATACATAACACCATGGAATTAGCATACAAGAAAGAAAAAGTTTCTAGAGATGACGACAAAGATGTATACCACATGATAACGAGTGAATATTTTCATTGTGTTGACAGTCTTCATTTAAATTCATCTACAAATAAGAAATCAAATCTCTGATACATTGGTTCGTTGAATGAAATTTATCAATGTGCCTACCAAAGATAGCTCCTTTGACTTTGAATAACACAATGATAATATTTCTTTTGAATATTTTATAAAAATAAATTTACTTATATTTAATCACACATAGAACAGATTTCATTTGTTATTTTTTTTATGAAGAATAGAATTAGATATTATAGGAAATTTCCAACTATCAATGAACATTCAAATGATGTTCTTTGTGAGTGTCTAAAATTTGTAGCAAATAAATGCAACAACAAAAATGTTAGATCATATTGTAAAAACTGACAATAAGTGAAAATTTTATGAAATCAATCCTAAAATAAATAATGGCAAAGCAACTACACGTACGTCATGTGGTAGAAAAAAAAAATTTTCATAAAAATAAGATTGTTTAATCTTTTTAAAAATATCTAAGAAAAATGTGTTTCACCAATATGAATAAATAAATTCAACGAGATTAAAATAGAATATCAATTAGTCTAGAAATAGAAGATTAATCAAGATCGTTGAGTGAAAGAGTAACATAACGAGAGATTACATATTGTTTCGATAAGATGTTTGTTTACTTTTGACCTGCTAGAAATTATCGAAAGCTATTAGTTCGGATCCATATTTTATGATTGATTTTGACAATTTTTCACATGTTCGAAAACGAACTCATACGATAAAGTAAAATCTGTTGGCTTATCATGAAAAATAATTTTTCAAATCCTTAAAAAAGTTTCTAATTACTGTTGAGTAAAAATAGACACAACATTTCTAAGTCAATATCCAATTCCTGGTTGCGATCTTAAATTTTTGATTCCTCTGAAATGCTTTTAAGTGGAACAAAGTAAATCCACATATTCAATAGAAATACCGGTCCACAAATTTGATTCGAACTAATTTATTAGACTTTTCAAAGATGATTTCACTATCCTTGTTTGAAAAATGTTTTGATCTATATCTTCAGATCAATTAAATGAGCTAACATAATTGAATTTTAAAATATCGATTCATTATATATAAATTTATTTTTGAAATAAAGTATCTATGATAGAGACAAATGAAAATACTTCCAGTATTCTCATCTATCGATCAAGATAAACTCTATTTTTTTTTAATTATAAAATCAACCTTCTTCTGTTTTCAATATCAAATGAATAAAAACAAACATTTGTCATGTATTCATTATCTTTAGTTTAATCAAGTATATTAGAATGTTTTATTTTCTGACGAAACAATATTCATTTATTTATTTATCAATGAGCTAAAACAATAGTACTGACAGCAACATTTAATTCTTTATTGTCTCTTGATAATTGCAATTCTTTATTTTCTTCTTCGCGTACAGTTGTAGAATCTTTGCCACATATCTTGTAAATATATCGTTTTAGTTCCAATCGAAAGGCTTTCGAAAAACAGATAAATATGAAGAAACTTGTACAGTACGGAATGTAATGAAGAAAACTACCAAAATCGTTCAAAAAGTTGTATACAGTTCGATCAAATGGATTTTGTACTTTATATCTTATTGTTGTACCATAGACTAGACTCACAATCAATACAATAGTACAAATGATGTACACAATATTATGAGCATATAAACAACGAAGTAATTGAAAATCTTTTTTGTTCATTGATCGAATTTGTCTACGTTGTTGACGTGGAATAGTACGAATATGACGAACATTTTTAAAAGCAATTATTGATAAAATAATCAAGATAAATGGCACGATAACACTCATTATTAATGCTGAATATATAAAAAAGTTTAGATAAGATATTGAAAGATCATAATAACATATAAAGATAGAAGGAGAAAATTGTTGAATATTAACTTTAATAAGTATATGCAAAGAGAAGACACTCAAGACAAATAAACTTGTAGAAACAAAGAAATAAGCTAAACGTTTTGAACTATACAAACGTGTATCAACATTTTGAGAAGATATTAATAAACGATCAATCGATGCAAAAATCAGAACACATGGTAAATATGTAGAACCAAGATATGCTATATAATAGAAAAGTTTACATAAAATAACACTTGAATTTTGTGCATTAATATTAAAACCAAGTGAAAAAATAGATCCAACTAAAGCTCCATTAATAAAAATAGTATTATTAAAAAGACAAATAACGAAATAGAAAACACAAACATTTTTTCTCCAAGATTTTTTAAAAAATATGAAAATACTTAAGAAATTTCCAATATTACCAATAATAAAAAAAATAGTTGCTACATATTGATGAAGATAAATTGGAATATTTGTTAGAATTTCAATGGAGGAATTTTCCGAAGAAGACATTTTTTTAATAACAATATTATCAATATTTCTATTCTTTTATACAATACTTACACTGTATGATCTCTCTCTCTCTCTCTTGCGCGCTCATATTATTAATTTTTAACACAAACGAATTTAACGATAAACATAATTTCAATAAGACTCTTAAGATAATACAGACATAATCTCATTATTGAGAAGAATATTACACTTGAATGAAATTAAAAAAAGACCCGATTATTGTTATAGTAATCTTCTTTTTTATTTGCGTACAGTTAATGGAACTATTTTTTTTTCTTAATACTGGTTAGCTGATTTTTCTGAAGTAATTTTACAATTAACGGTCGAATAAGCTATATAAGGGGGACAGTTGGACTTTGGTAAGCAACAAATTGTGATTTATTTCATATGTTAATGAACTCTTGAGAATTTCAAATCTTAATTGTTGTTTAGTTAAGTCAATTGAAAAATCATAAAATGAAATTCGTGCTTAAAAACTTATGCGCGATTAGTCATAATTAAGAATAATTTCAATTATAATTACATAGCAGAGATCGTTAATATTATAAATAATTTCATAGAGTAGTTAAACTAGAAGAAAGTAATCCAAAAAAAAGTCTCCTGCTTATGATTTGTACATCATTTTTAATTCTTCAAAACCTTATAACGAATGATGTAAAAGTTTTGTATTAAATTTGTTTTCAATATAGCATGATAACAACATGTCGTGAACACTCTATAGTTTTCTTTTTAACCTTTAATACAAAGTTGTGTAAAAATATTTGTTTCAAAACATTTACTGAAAGTTGAAAAGTGATTTGCAACGTCACATTAAATCAATGATGAACAGTGGATTTAATCAATTTATTTTGTACTTAGCACTTTATCTATGAATGTAATTAATTCGATACGGTCTTTCTAGTTGTATAAAAATATTTGAGTGACACAACGATAAGTTTCACACCGAATGGTTTTATGAAAAACTGTATCTTGTTTGATATAATATGTTTCTATAAAGCAGTTGCTAAACTCTAATTAGATAGAAAATATTGAGTTTCATTAACTTGGACTATTAGAAAGATATCTTATTTTTCAAAAATTACTTATTAGTGGTGAACACTTTTTGCCAACAGAAAACATTAGAAAAATGTTGATTGATCGAACTCAACGGATATCTTGAAAATTTTATTTTTACCCCTTTATAATGCTCTATTGAATAACTATAAAATCCGATTAAAGACGAAAAATAAGACTAAGTTTCTTAGTAGGCAAAGATTTTTCTTCCAATTTCTAAAAGCATGCAGAGAACGTTTCCAATGAAATATGTTCTTAAAACTTTTTAGCCTCCGGTAAATATCTTGAACTAAATATTTTTACATAGATTTATACTAGAAGCTAACAAGAAAACTATCGAATCTCCATGACAAGTTGTTGTCACGCTCTTTTGTGAATGTCTAAATTTCAGATATTCAATTATTTAATTCAACTGGAGAGTTCGATGTCTATGATTACTAAATAATTTGAATGCATTCGGTTTTTTTTGTTATAAATCGATTCAAGTCTACTTTGGACATGTCGCTACAACTAAGTCTTATTTTAATATTGATAACACTTGTTAATTACTGTATACTAAGTAATTCATGAAATCTTCAATGGTAAACTAATCTCATTTAAGTTATTTGAAGTTAATTATTGTTCAACGATGATAATGTTCCAAGAAAAAAAACATAAAGTATCTGTATTTATTATCCCAATAGATTTTGTCCTACACATTAAATTGAAGTGTTTCATAATGCATTGTATCCTGGACTATTTTCTCATCAATTAATGAATATTTTGTTTTAGATATTTAGTTATATAAAAGCAATAATCATTGACTTTCTAATAACAAGTAATTGATAATAGAGGATACGTCTGACATAATTCTTTCTTTTCTCGTTGTGGTTTTTTTGTACTAACGTGTGAACATCCACAATTATTGGATGTTGATTGATTCAGTTTCATTCTTACAAACAGATCCATTTAAGACTAAAAAAAGTCTAAAATAAAAGGATTCAGATCTATATCGTACTAGTGACAAGCTATGGGCATTTGATCGGTGTGTCTTATGTAGAGAGAAGTATATTCGAAACAATTAAAATAAGTATTTTCAATCTGATATTTTTTTTATCGATAGATTTAAGAGTCATAGAAAAGTCCTGAAAATTATAAAGAAAGCCAATATATCTTTCTGCGGATATTCATCTAGCAAAAAGAGAGCCGCTTTTTACAGAACATTGCAACAGTCAAGTTGACCAGGAAGTTGAATACAGCAAGAAAAAATGTTTTGATGTCTTTGAAAATTTTTCAGACTTTCTAATGACTGTTCACTCTATCGATAACTAAAATTACAGGTCAAAACATCATATTTTGATTATTTCAACAATACTTTGCTCTCATTAAAAAGTGCAGTAAAACGACTTTAACTTTTCTGTATTAAGCCGTAAGTTTCCATTTTTTAAAAAGCTCTTTTTACCCTCAAAGAAGCTTATCGGTAGGCATACAATTAAATCAAATGACGTTCGAAAGTTGAAGATGTGCATACTCAAGTACTTTAAACTGTTCCATAAAACAACTCTTTTTCTTAAAAGAGTAAAGTTTATTGGCAGCAAACAACAGTATAACGATTATAATGCTCAAGAAAATTAAATTACTATGTTTTGTTTTTAGAAAAACCAATAACAAATCTTCTATTTATCAGTTGATTCTACAATTTGCTATACTTCAGATTAGTTTTAATCAAAATCTTGAAAGACAAGTAGTCACTTGCATGATCATCATGTTTACACTTAATAATAACTTTTGATCAATTTGTAGGATTCAATTGATATGATGTTTTGGATGATGATATATACAAAAATATTGTTGTATTGTAATAAAATTAGGTATTCATCAAAATCAAGAAATTCAATCGATGAAAATGTTCATTTCCATCAGTGACATTCAAATAGATCCATTGTTATGTCTGTTTCCTAACTTTAATATCATGTTTTTGAGTTTCTAGATCAGTGCCCAACCAATTTTTATAAAGTCATTAGTGTATTTACAATTTTTATAAGTCATTAACTTAAATTCAATAGAAATAAAAATGAATAAAAACGAAGAATAAATGCTTGTTGAATGCTTTTAGAAATTGTTATTAAATCATTATGTATATAAATAAAATATGAAACCTTTTTATTTTGTTCATTATCTAAGATTCATTAGTATGATGCATGAAAAAATTTGAATTTTTCTTATGTATATTTGATTTTTTTTCACAGATCTCTAATAATTCAAATGAATCGTAAGTATCAATTATTAATATTAAATATTCTTGGTAGGGATATGCAAGTTCTCTGTTTCATCAAATATAAAAAGAATAATAAGAAAAAAGAAAGAAAGAAGCCATCACAATGGTAGAATACAAAGTGTCTTGGCATATTTCTCGTGGATGTGACATAAAGCATACTTATATAAATATTTTAATGAATATTACATAATTACTTTGTCATGATTTTCATATAAGTTGTTTTAGGAAGAAAAAAAAAAAGGAGTCGCCAACATCAATTAATCTTCAAAAATAACAAGTATTACTCTTGTTTAATACTGTTGTGTCGTACAGAAATGTCCTCCTTAGATAATTATTATTCTGAAATCTTGAATAATATTATTGTTTATCTGTATCGTTATGGTAATTTAACCATTTATATTATCGGTAATATTGGAAACTTATTAAGTATTTTTATTTTTTGTAAAAAATCATGGAGAAAAAATGTTTGTGTATTTTATTTTCTTATATTTCTTCTTCTCAGTTCTGCCTATCTGAATTCAACTATTCTTGGAACTGCACTTATTAATGGTTTTCAAATTTATGCACAAAATTCAAGTGTCATATTATGTAAACTTCTTCATTATACAGCAGTTCTTTTCTCTACACTTTTACCAACAATTCTTATTCTTGCATCTATTGATCGTTTATTAATATCATCACAAAATGTTGATACACGTTTATATAGTTCAAAACGTTTAGCTTATTTTTCAATAAGTTTAAGTACATTTTTTTGGATTATTTTTAATTTTCAATTTGTTACATATTCTTTAATGATATTTAATTGTTTTTTTTGTTTATTCATGATTATCTTATCTATATTTGCTTATAAAAATGTTCGTCATATTCGATGTATTTCACGTAATCGACAATATCAAATACGAACAATGACAAAAAAAGATTTTCAATTACTTCGTTGTTTATTTATTCAAGATATTGTTTATATTTTTGTAAGTCTAATACCAGCTCTCTATTCTGTTTATACAACATCAACAAAAGATCAAATACGAACACCATTAGAAGAATCAATTGTTTATTTCTTACAGAGTTTATTTACTTTTATTTATTTTACTTTTTATGGTAGCAGTTTTTTCATATTTTTTATTGTATCCAAAGCTTTTCGACATGGATTGAAAAGATTTATTTTCAAGATTATTGGTAAAGAACTTATGACATTACGAGAAGAAGATAATAGACAAGAAAATAATGAAAATTTAAATATTCCTGTTGTTAGTAAAATTATTCTATCACGTTGATTATTAAATAAATGAATTTATATTATCTATAAATTATTAGTAAAAAAAAAAATATGTATGTCTATTGATAATTTCTATAAATTTTAAACATAGTCGGATTGCAGTTTTTCCATGTAGCCAAATGCGGCTGTCAAAATAGATCAGAGAAAGAAATCTTTCTGAATGCATTTCAAACTTTGACACATTCCGTTTTTGCATCAATATAGGCTCATTAAAATGCGTTTCAATGAATACTTGCGTCTAATAGTGTTTAAAATGCCGACGAGTTCTGTTTTTAAAATTAATCAAATGCATATAAATGCATTCAAGCGAGCATACCCATTTCAAATGCGTTTGCTTGAGTTTCAAAATAAAAACAAATCTAGTTTTCTTGACAAATAATTTACAAGACTATTGCAAGTTTTAATATTTTTAATTGTTTTGTATGATATCTAGCTGAACAAGACTCGTTGTCTATTATTAAATCATCTATTTGCAAGTATTTTCTACAGAATCATAATTCATTTTTACTCGGATTATAACATATAGTTTTAGAAAAACATCAATATAGTAAAGATCTCAATAGTATTAACTTGATAAAAAAAAAAGAATTTTTTTTCTTATTTCACATTCTATCTTTCGTAATATACAAGTCCTTGGTTTTTTTTGTTCAAAGAACTTCATGTTTATATGAATGATAATCTTTCTAAGTAATCCGATCATAATATAATTAAATTACTTGAAAATATGTTGAAAAATACTCTATAAATAAAAATAGTTATTTTTGCTCGTATAATGTGGCTTACTAAAAATCAAAAAAATAAATTAAAATACAGGGTGATTGAAAAGTAACTCCCTATTTTAAATTCTATATTACTCTCAAATGACAAAAGATATCATAACGATTATTTCATTGTTTTGAAGCATGTGTCCTGCCATTTTAAAGTAGATGAAACAAGCCTATTGATCATTTGACTATCTAAGATCAAGCACGAATTTCATCTCGAGAATGTCTGAAAATAACTCATTATTTTGAATACTGGTATTTTCTTATATAAGAACAGATACTATAATAATCATAGAAGTGTACGGACAATAGAGGAATCTATGTAGAAATTTGAGACATTGTATGTTATTGTATTATGCATAGTTCAAAATAGTACAAAAATTTGTTATAGTATTTGTTCTCGTATAAGAACAATAAATTATTCAAAATAATGAGTTATTTTCAGACATTCTCGAGATGAAATTCGTGCTTGATCTTAGATAGTCAAATGATCAATCGGCTTGTTTCATCTATTATAAAATGGCATGACACATGCTTCAAAACAATGAAATGATCGTTATGATATCTTTTGTCGTTTGAGAGTAATAAAGAATTTAAAATAGGAAGTTACTTTTCAATCACCCTGTATACCTTAAATAAATGAATATAGATCATTATTATCGATAATCAAGATCACAAAATATTTTTAATGTAGAATAGAATTTCTATCAGAATTTGTTTTAAACTAGACTGTTGTCATATTATAATCAATGAAGATTTGTGTAAGTAATGAGTGTCTCAATACTTACTTTCGACGACTATAAATTACTACTATTAAATAAACAATAAAGATAACTTCTTTGTTACAAAAGATATCCGTAAAAAAATTCCGTTTATTAATTAATGAACTACTTTATATGAATATATGTCTAATCGTACTTTCATGCATAGCAAATATAAGGATTTTGTTTTTGTGCGCTCCTTTTTCACAAGTTTATTCTGTATGTAGCTTGTATGGGTTAAATATGTATTGAGGAATTCTATTTATGAAATAAAATGTTTCATTTGGTAATAAAAAGCCTAACGAGGGCATTATCTAGAATGTAATGGAAATGGTTAAACCAAGTTGAATGCGGCTGAAAACAGTGTGAATAAGACATTATAAAATGGAAATAAGATCATACTGTTATGCATAGGTTTGAGATGAAAATCAAACTAAGCGATGCAGCTTACGTTCCAGTCGAACATAGCCATCAGTCTCCATCGTTTATTGCAGGAGGACCATTTTCAACCGTTTAAACTATCGTTCTCAATTATCGAAAGAAGAAAATTTCTTTATTATTACCTAATAAAAAATGATTGTTGTAACACGTATTTGCTAAAGAGGTATAAGATGAATGTAATGCTCTCCGCCGAAAACAAGATTGTCGAAAACTCACATCGCCGACTCGACGTGGAAATTTACAGTGAATTTCCACGTCGAGTCGGCGATGTGAGTTTTCGACGATCTTGTTTTCGGCGAAGAGCATACTTACCGTCAAATTTCACATAACTTCAAATAAGCTACAAAAAGACTATATAGAAAATGGTTAAAACGAATACTAAAAACGATTTTATACTTATGAGCAAAATTTAATATTTTCCATTAAGAAACAAATAATAAAAATTTGTTAACATTAAAAATACATGCATTATTTGAATTGAATGATTCTAGATCGTTCAATTGAATATAAGAACTATTAATGTCTGGCATACAAAAATTAGTATATAATGTGCAGATATTTATATTTATAAACATGTCTATGTAAATATCATGTACCGTTTATCTTGACGGTCAGAGAAGAAGCTTGTCTGAATTTTAAAAAACTTTATATATTATATTCTTATTCTATTCAGACTCTTGGCTTTCTTGATAGATTGTTCAAGATTCTTTTTAGTTAAAACTTCAGGCAGGAATTCGTTTTTCTAGTTCTTGGCAAAGAAAAATTTATTTGAATTTCGAGCTTGACAAGAATCTTAATGGATTGATGAAGACAAAAAAAAGAGTCTGTAAAGAATAAGTCCCAAAATAGTGACTACTGGATTTGCTAATGTGTACCGTGATTCTGCTATCATCCAATAGGAATAAGTAATACATTGCGACCAGTTTTTAATGTAAATCCATCATTTGTCTGATTTTTTTGTCTTAAGAACTATAAAACAGTCCTTCAGTATAGTGACCAAAAACCGTTTGTGAAAAATTGTGAATCCAATAAGAATAATTTACTTAAACAATACAGTAAACGTGGCAAAAATATATAAATGACTACCACGAACACATTGAGGTTTTATGTCCAATTACCAAATGATCAATCAACATCCATTCGAATAATATAATTTGAAAAAACATACTGATTTCGTACACGTGCGTCCGTATTTCAAAGCACAATCAATATTCCATTACATTTGCTCTATTTTCTTTTGATACTCTCAATTTCTATACGTGAATACTTTGTTTAGTGTTGCATTGTATGACTTTTAGAATACTACTTCATAAAACATTGTATCGATCAAAAAACAATTAAAATTTCAAAATCTTATCTTCATAATCAAAATGATAAATCGAATTATTCTATTACAAAATCTGACTTAATATTGATTAATAATAAAAGATTTTCATTTTAATTTTATCGTGGAATAATTTGATTTATGATTTTGATTCTAATTAATTATTAATCAATTATAATCAACGAAAAATTTTGATTTTAGTCTTAGTTTTGTAATGCAAAATTTTGATTGTCAATTAGAGTGAAATTCATAATATTTGATTTCCAAAGTAATTATGAAAATTCAAAAAGCTGAGTTTTATCTAAGTAAAATTTTGGTTTTGAAACAGAGTATAGTCGATTGATATAATTCAAATTACTTTTCAAAAATACCGATGCACTTTCCAGAAGTTCATATAAGATAACATAAGAGATTGTCATCAGTAGATAGCCCGAAGTCTTTTCTACGCATTAAGACACATCGATAACACTTGAAGAATGATCTGAATTACACAAATCGACTATTAATTGGTTAATAATGTGGTGAGAGGATCGTTCCAAGTAATAAAATAAATTTGCAGTGAGACTTTCTTCATTAGATAGAACTCTCGAGGCTAGATAAAGTCGAGAATGAATTCGTCTTATCAGATCTTCTCGAATAATTTATACTTGTTATATCAATTTTCTAAGCTGTCTCAAAGTATATCATTAAAACTCGAATGTTAAATATTTTATCTAGAATTTTTTTCCATGAATAGGTCTCAGTGATACTATCGTATGCCATGAATCTCTCGTCTGAAATGGATACTTCGATTTTGAGATATAACATTCTTAAAAAAAGCTAGATTTCTGAGCGCTAGCGGAAAAATATGGTTTGTGAAAAGTCTAATATCTCGAGATCTAAACATTCATTTTGGACAACACCCGGCACATTATAGTAGTAAACAGGCTTGTTTGTGACAAAAATTTCAGATCAGATATCCAACATCTGAGTATCCAATGATATATGTTGATATTGATTAACAATATAGGAAATTGCGCTTAACTCAATACAGGAGATTCAAGAAGATGATTCATAGAACTTATCTAGTATAGAGGTGTTCTACGTAATAAAAGAAGTCTCAACCGAAACGCTTTTTATCACTTGGAGCAGTTACTTTTCTTACTCTTACTGTGTTTTGTGGTATGTTTCGATTGTCCTAAGTGACTCAGTTACTCAATCATGCTTATTCTTGAAGTATGAATAATTGCTCTAACGTCACCATTTTTCTGTTATATGTCAATTTAAAAAAATAGAAGTAGACTCGTAGACATGCGTTTTTTTCTACTCTGTAAGAAGCGACATGTTTTAACCATTGTTGACGCATAAAGTGGAAGACTTTTTTCTTCCTTCTGTTGTCATTTCGCAAATAAAAACACGGTTTCTCATAAAAACAATCCGTCGCTTTTAAATCACTACATTTCAGAACATAAAACAGTCCTGAGAAAAAAAGCGTAAGTTGTCTATGAATTACATACTACGCGTATATAATGAATCGATTTATTCAAACTCATTATGATAATGGTCAATCACCTAACTATTACGATTACAGGAACTACCGTCTTGTACCATTGACAAGAGCTCTCGAATCCTTTTTATCAAATATCGACCAGCTGGATACTCGTATAAAATGTTCAAACATCTATTGCCATCATTCTTCGATCTATAATCTCACTAAAGATGAATCGGCTGCTATCTATCTCTATACAGACGAACATGTAAAACAAAGTTTATGCAGTGAACTAAATAAAGCGTTGAGATCGAAAAATCAATCAATGATAGAGCCCTGGTTTAGTTATCTCAAACTATTTAATGCTGCTTTGGAGAAATTACCTACCGTGAAGAGCAAAGTATGGCGTGGGATGTCTATCAATATAGTTAACGACTTGAAGGAAAATGATGATATAGTTTGGGGCTGTTTTAGTTCATGTTCATTGTCGATTCATGTAATTGAGAGTTATCTTAATAACAAATCGATGCTTTGCTCAATCGAAGTGATAAGTGGCAAGTATATTCGTAGCTATACTCATGATATAAATGAGAATGAAGTTTTATTGCTTCCGGGGACTCATTTACGTGTTAAAAAAATCGATTATGGTTCTTCTGTTGGCCCAAGTGTTATACATCTAGTAGAAATTCCTAATGAAAATCGTAACAAGTCGGCATCCGTTCATAATCCTATATCTTCAACAAACAAATCAGTTGAGAATGCTTCAGGTATGTTTAGTATTCATTTTGTGAAATTTTAGTTTATTTTCTAATAATGTAAGGATTTTTATTTCATTGAGTTTTTGTCCATGACATCGGTCTAACTAAAAACAGTTCGAGTTAATTCATTTGCACTGTCTAATTTTTATTCTTTACTTTTATCGTACATTTTCATATAAGTATAAAATAAAATGAATACAACGAAATTATATAGATTCGACTAATTCCATAGAAAAAGTTGTTTCGAAGACAAAGGAAGCGGTAAATCAAGGTCGTTCTGATACGCATTAAAATAGGTTAAGAATTCTCAAAAAAAATTGATCATTTGATTTTTTTTCAGATAGAGACGAGGTTCAAAGGAACATAGAGTCTTCGATCATTACATTTTCGAACGATAATCGTTACGAAGTAACGTACAAGAAAGGTGAAAAACAAGGATATCGTAAATTATATACAGTCAATGGAGAGATCTACGAGGACCGCTCTGCTGACGCGAAAGCAAGTGGAGATGGAGTTCGTATTTGTTCAAATGGTGATCGTTATGAAGGAGATTTCATGAATGGTAAGATGCATGGATATGGTAGTCTCTCTTGTGCTAATGGTTATACATATATAGGTTATTGGATAGCTGATAAACCTTATGGTGATGGAACAAGCACCTGGCCGAATGGAAATCATTACGAAGGCTTTCATGAAAGTGGCAAAATACACCATTATGGCACATATTGTTCTGTGAAGGGAGACAAATATGAAGGCAATTTCATTGATGGAAAGGCGCATGGAAAAGGTTTACGCATTTGGGCGGATGGTGATCAATATGAAGGCGAATTCAAAGATGATAAAAAACATGGATATGGAACGTACACTTATGCAAATGGTGGTAAATATAAAGGACATTGGACCAATGATGAAATGAATGGTATAGGAGTACTTAAATGGCCTAGTGGAAGTTATTATGAAGGATCATTTAAAAATGGAAAAAGACATGGCATAGGCAAGTTGACCTTTGTTAATGGTAGAGTTCAAGATGGTACTTGGGAAAACGACAAATTTATTGGTTAGATTGCATTAATACCAATTTCTGCTCCATCACAAGCTCACGATGGTTGTATCTTATCGTAAATTTCTATCTTTCGCAAGTGATACCATGAACTTCTTTTCTATTTATTTTACTATTCATATAGTATAATAGCATTTTCATTAAAGAAAAAAAAAGTTTTTGAAATATACAGACTGAAAAATTCATTAAAGAAAGAAGATCTAATTGAAATCTAACTTTGACATTTACTTGAATTCTCAATGAGCAAGATCAATTCCTATTTCTTACCAATATATCAGTATCTGTCCTTAAGATATCATTATAATAACTATAGAAACACAATATAGCCATTGTGATTTTGTTATTCAATAAAAAACATTGTAAAGAATGTTCAAAACCATGCTTCTTTGAGATGTGACGAGTACAGATTACTTTCAATTTTCACAGTCTACCAAATATTCGACTTATAGTTTGGTATGTAAATATATATATATATACACATCTAATATATGTTTTTAATCAATGTGGACTATTTTGTTTTAACTTATTTCTTTATCATCTTGATGAAATATTCAGTCATTCATTCTGCTTACATGTTTTTTAACGGAGTAAAACAAAGTCAGAGGACATATATGCGTTTTTTCTCGCTGAAAGCAAACACTATTTTACCGTTTCTGTTGTTGTCTTATAAAAAAAAGGAATTTTTCTCTTATCGCACGCCATATAAAAGAATGTAAGTAAGTTGGAAAGAAACTAATATTTTTCTAGATATTTTTGCATCGAACAACACACGAAATATCAAATGTAAAAAGGTGTTCTTATCGTTAGTATAATTAGATATTGAACGAAAAATGGATCGATTTATTCGTTTTGAATATAGTGATAAAGATTTCAAACTTATTGACGATTATAAAAATCGGCAAGTTGTGTCATTAGATTTAGCTCTTAAACCTGTTTTGTCTTCTGTCAATAACTTGGAATATTATATTAAAAAAGCGAAAGAAAACTGTCATTATCCTTCGAAACATAATCTTAGTAAAGATGAATCAGCCGCTGTATATCTCTATACAGATGATTGTGGAGATCAAAGTTTACATAATGTCTTGAATCAAACATTACAAACTAAAGATAAAAAAAAGTTGAAACCTTGGTTTAATTTTCTTCAATTATTTAATACAGCACTAGAAAAATTACCCAATGTCAAGCAAACAATATGGCGAGGTTTACCCATTGATACTGTAGAGAAACTAGAAGAAAATGATGAATTGGTATTGTGTTGTGTAACTTCATCTTCATTGTCAATTGATATAATGAAGTACTTTCTCACAAATAATCCAATTCTTTGCTCAATCGAACCATTAAATGGGAAAGATATTCATGATTATACACCTAAAACCAGTGATCAAGAGGTTTTACTGCTTCCTGGCACATGTTTGCGCGTGAAAAGCAAAGAACAAAACAATGAAAGAGATAAAGTTATAATATGTTTCGAAGAAATCAGTCAAGTTGATGAAGACAAATCAATTGGTAATGATGTCGAAATGGTCGACAACAGCCAACTTACTAACGAGCAAGACACAGGTAAATATTCTCAATAGTTTAAATATTTTCATATAAACGATAATAACTACATCATAGATATTGATCATCAACAAACAAAACCTACGGCATTAACAAATGAAATGAATTATGAATCATCATCAAGTACGTATGAAAACAAATAGATCGTAAAACTGATCTGTCATTAATTGTTTTTAGAAAAAAAGAAATCAAATGAGAATGAAACTAAAGCAGTTATTACTTTTGTTAATGGCCATCGATATAAATTAAAATATCGAAATGGTATGAAGCAAGGTTATGGAAAATATTACAATGTTGATGGAAAAAAATTTGAAGGTGAAGATGCTGAGGATAAAGCAACTGGAGAAGGAATTTGCACTTATCCAAATGGCAGTCGTTATATAGGAACATTCAAACGTGGTAATAGAAATGGCCATGGTATTCTTTACAATACAGACGGAACAGTACAAGCAGGTATCTGGGCTAATGATGAACCAAATAATCTAGATTTAAAAACAATCTCAAACAGTCATCTTTATAAGTGGAAAAATGGAAATGGCGAAGAACGTCATTATTATGTTTATGACGATAATAATGGGAATAAATATATTGGTAATATAGTTGATGGCAAGGCACAAGGATTAGGTATACGAATTTGGTCAGACAACAGTCGATATGAAGGTAATTTCAAAGATAATAAAAAACATGGATATGGTATTTATTATTATACTGATCGAGATATTTATAAGGGTCAATGGGCTAATGACGAGATAAATGGAGAAGGAAAACTAACTTGGAGTAGTGGTACTCACTATCAAGGAAAATTTGTCGATGGAAAGCGACACGGTGAAGGAACATTAATATTTGCTGATGGACAAAAACAAGTAGGCAAATGGGAAAAAGATAAATTTGGTACTTAAATATATTATTGATTAGTTTGAGTTAGGGACGTATGTAAAAAAAACAAATACCAATTATAATCAAATGCTTTACAATTTCAATTAAAAATAAATAAATCTTTATTCACATTTCAACAATATTCGTTTTTTTTTTCAATCAATTCATAACAAATTTTCTTTAATCATATCAAGCATTATTAAATATTGATTGACATATTAAATCGAAAAGTTATTAATGCAAAGAAACAAAAAGATAAATAAAAGAATTCTAATTGTGAATGTAATATTTTTTAGTGATGAAACTTTCTTCTAATTGGATTACTAGAAATGGTTGAATCGGGTGTCAATGTAAATGTACGTTGTGTCCCAATAGTGTCTATGATCGTATCATTTGTTAAGATGACACTACTATTAACACCACTTTCCAATGTGTTATTTGATACAAAATAAAAATCAGTAACAGTATTAGCCGTTGATGTATCAATATTTATTGTTGAATCATCAAATGTTGTCGTATTTGTTGTTGAATTCAAAGCTATAGAAAGGAAAAACAATTGTCAATAAGTTTATTATTCATTCTCATTGTATAATCTAGAAGATTTACTGATGAAAGAAGTAGGTTAGAAAAAAAAACAGATTGATCATTTTAATATATTATTTTTAGTAAGAATTAAGTATAGAAAAAATTTTTATAAAATATGAAATAAATTTTCAATGGTAGAAAAAAAAAACATTATTAAAAAAGTAAGCACAATCATTACTGCAGTTAGAAGAGTTAATTTTTTAAAATCAAATCACTTCACTCTCAAATATAGAAGAGAGAGGACTCAAATGAAAATCTTACTACTATCTGTTGTTATTGTTGATGATTGATGTGTTTTTTTGCAACGAGTTAAAATGATTGTAAGTGGAATCACTAGACTACAAATTAAAATAATCATCAGTATGATTATTAAAAATAAAAAACGACGACGTCGTGTTCGAAGTAAATATGTCGATGAACATCCTCTGAGAAAAAAAAAAAGTAAAAGATTTATTATTGACAAGTTTCGAGGAACAACTTACAAATGATTGTCTATATGATTTGGTGATACTCGAACAGTTTCATAGTAAGGATGAATCCTTGGAGCTCGCATCGTGAAAAACTTGAAAATGAACGTGATAGATTCAGGCAAACATTTTATATTGACTTTTTATAAAAATATTTATTAAATATGTGACAGCTTTTTATTGAATAAAACTCATACTCCGCTTTATAAAAAGCGAGAAGAGTATGTTTTCTTTTATTCATGACAATACAAAATATGGTATAAAATATAATATGAGATTTATTAAATTAAGCAAGTTATTTACAATCAATTCTGTTAATATGATTATTCATCTAATATATTTTTTATAGTTGATTCCTACAAGTATGATATTGTAAAAAGAGTCTTCAATATTTCAAATATTATTAATGAAATGTAGCTGGTGAAATATTTGATTACAATACATGTAATCTGTTCAGTCTCTAGATGCTAATGCTGATCGAAAAATAATATTTATAACATTCGTACAAATAATTATAGTGTCGAGCGTTGAACTAAGAATATATTGTTAAGAATAATAATAGTTAGTATCAGTAAACTAATGAAAGTTGGACACAAAATAAAGTATAAAACAATTTTATGAAAAAACTAGTATTTATGTAACATGCACAACATATCGATTTATTGTGAAATCTTTCATGATTTTTTTTTTCAATATCAATCAGATGTATGAATACAGTTCTTACAAATGTTTTAGACAAAGCGATATTTTTCCTATACGTATGATACTTGTCCCAATAATGAATTTCGATATAGATTATACATGATATCATATAATACAATTTTTTTCTAGTTGAACATTGAAAAAGTAGAACAAATTGTTAGCATACAATCAAACGCATTATTAATACATAGCAAAGTCGATTAATAATTGAATACAAAAATTAGTTCGAACTTAAATTTATTCATAACTATCAAAATCAAAAAAAAAATGGTTTAAAATTCCAAATTTATTGAATAAAAATCATTCATATGGAACTTGAAATAATAGATATAAATAAAACTAATGAAAGTCATGACAACATGTTTTTTCACAATCTGATATTATTAGCAAAACTTCAATTATGTTTGACAAAAATGTTTATTAGGCAAAAAAAAACTCTCCCAACAAAAAAAAAACAAGTATTAATAATCTCTTCAGAAGTTAACATATTGTCAATTAGTTAAATGAAAGATGAGGGAAAAAAAATGTCTTTTGAAGGCGGTCTACATTATTGACAAAATATTGTAAGCTTCATTCGTTTTCATATCAGACAACTAATATTTCTATATATAAGTAATAGGATGAAAATTGTCTTGTTGACTTGGACAAAAAATTGTTGAAATAAAAATACATGAAATAATCTAAATAAACAAAAGATTTAATTGAGTTTTTAAAATAAATTAGAAAAAGAAAACCTTTGTCTTGAGGATCACATTACAATACTATTGATGCATCAAAATGCACAATGTCTATGATGTATACAGGATGACTAC